CACACACACACACACACACACACACACACACACACACACACACACACTGCTGAAGGTTGAGGGATGCGTGGGCCGCAGCAGAGGAGGGGGTGACTCAGGGACAAGTCACTTCCTCTTTCATTTCCTGTGGTTTTCCTGGTTGTCAGACTCCCATGTCGACAAACAGACAGATCGTACCACAGTTTCTGTTTGTTTAGCTGTCTGACGCACACACACGCTAACACACACACGCTAACACACACACGCTAACACACACACACGCTAACACACACACACGCTAACACACACACACGCTAACACACACACACGCTAACACACACAGAAATACACAAATGAGAGGACGCCCACGCTGGGCGATAACGCCGTCACTCCACCAGCGTCTTCTGTTTAATAAAACCTTAAAGGAAATGTTCTGTGCATCAGCGTCAGACTAATTTCACCTGAACCTCTGCAGCCATCCCGACCACAGCCGACAGTTTCTGCTAATACTGAATTTCAGCTGGTCCTGAAGACGCTTTTAATTAAGTTTTTACTGACAAACACTAGATGTTTATTTAAAAAAAAATAATCCTAGAATACGTGCAGGAAGTGTTCTGAACTTTGCACGATTTCATAACTTTTCTATAAAATCTGCATGATGGACAAACTCGAACAGGAAAAATGTCACTTTTGTCCAGCTGGAGTTCCACAAGGATGAGTGTTCAGACTTCTATTCTCTGCTTTAATTTAGTTCCATAGAGCTCAAACCAATATTTATCTTTACAGAAGACGTTTTCTGCCCATTTTGAATTTCAGTATTCATAGAAGATGCTTATATTGACATTTTGTTGCTCCTAAAAACTCGACGTGTATGTTTTAAATTTTCAGTTAGCCATAAAAAAGCATTTAAGATTTGTAATTAACTGCACATTTTTATTGCAATTTGACATTCCTCCCCTCAAATTTAACTTGAAATGAATCGTCCTGTTTAACTCGCACTGTAAGGTGTTGGGGCGGAGCTAAACACAATGTCCCAGCAGCCCTTGCATTATGACTTCCTGTTTTTCTTGATTTAAGATGATAAAGCAGAGTTTGATCATTAATTCTTGGTTGTTGATTAGTGGTAGTTGTGATGCTGAACCATCTTGTATTAAAAGGTTTTTACATTTTTCTGAACACAAAGTTAATTTAAAACTAACGGCTGAGAAAAACAGCGACTACAAGGAGGACAAAAAGGTTCTGACTCAGAAACGAATCTGAAACTCCAGCAGGGTTTAAACTTGTTGAACGTTTTCACCAGTGTCTGATTTTGGTTCAGATTAGGAACAATAAACCGTTCATCTCTGTAGAGCTTGTGAGACTCTGACCCTGATGTAGTTGGCGTTGATGTAGCGGTCTGGTCCAGGTTCTTCTTCTGGGCTCTGCAGGATCACTCGGCTCTCTGGGTCTAAACAGCAAATGGAATCAGAATCAGAACAAACTTTATTGTCGTTGCACTGAAGTACAGCGAGATTATATTCTGTACAGTCGTGTGAAGGATGGGCAGAGTGCACGTGGCTGCAGCTCCTAGGAGCACGGCCCATTATTCTTTAGATAGAACGGGGGAAAGGCCACGAGGAGAGGATATGGATTAAAAAAGATCTCTTCACACCTCGTCTTTGTCGGGACACAATTTAAGACATCAAAAAACTACTTTTTACCCATTTTTTTAATTGATTGAATTACACTTTTGTTTTTTATTGGCCCATAGTTCTTATTTGAGTATTTTATCTGCATTTTGTGCATTTTAAGTTTTTGATGTGATCTTTCTGAGGCGTTATCCTCCTGGTTGTTCCTCCTCTGTTGCTTTTCATCTTGATGTTATCTGATGTTCACTCACTGTTTGACATCCACTGTGAATGTAAAGTGCATTATAAAGTTATTATTATTATTATTATTACCAGCAAACACATGTATAGACACATTACATATGCATATGACGACATGACGGTGTTATTTGTTCATGAAGCACTTCCAGATAGCACCATAGTCCTGATAAGATGTTGGTGTCAGCCGGTACAGCTCTGATAAGCCTGCACAGAAGTTCTCAGGGGTGGGGGGGTTGTGCGGGGGATGGATGGAGCAGAGCCTTCTTAGTTTACACACATCCAATGAGAAATTTGATAAGTTGGCCTTCTTAAAGGCTGAACGGAGGAGTCAGATTCAGATAAGCCACAGTTGTTTTTGTGCAGGCAGACTGTTGTTTCTCGTCGGCCTTGAGTCCTGCTGGTACTTTCCATATCCAAAATGGACAGATTTGTGGTCATTCTACTGGTCCGTGCTTATCAGCTTCCTCCAAGATCAGCCCCAACTGCTGGCGAGTTTCAGAAGCTGCAAGCGGCCTGCGATTCTCATAAATCGCTTCCACATTACGGTTGAGCTCATAAATCAGCTGAGTCTGAGCGCTCGAAGCACAAACGAATCCTTCACATAAGGTCGGCAGCTTTGCCACGGCCCAAACTGCTGCCGCCGTCTTCCTTAATAGCCGATAACAAAGGTATCCGACGGTGCCAAAAAGCAGAAACCCTGCTATCATAAGTTCAGCGATATAAACATCTTCGGCATCTTCCTGAGACAACGCGGAAAGGCCCGTCAGCTTCCACTCCCCCCATGGCGTACCCAGCCATGTGCCTCTCAGCGGAGCATGAGGGTTCTCCAGCACCCTGTCGCTGGTTGAAAAATTATCAGTTGCATTGAAAGTCCAGCTGACCAGATCCATGACGGTGTTTTCCGATTCGGAAGATGTGTAAACAGAAGCTCCGGCACACAAGACGGAGAGCAAAAAAGCAGGAGGAAGACGGGAGAGGGAAGGAGAGCATCAGTCTCGCTCGAGAGCGAGTGAGGAAAACAAACAAACAAACAAACCACAACAATAAATAAGACAAACAAACAACTTCTCTGCAGAGAATCTGGTGGGACACTTACTGGGGAGGATGGTTTTATATCGGTCTTTCATGGTGTGTCCTGGAACATCCAGTTCTGCAGCGTTCACGAAGTTCGGAGGGATTTTCTGATGAGACCAGAGGGACACGCCGGGTGACAAAACAAACACACCTTCCAGGATATGACCGTCTCTGACCATTAATTAATTTACAAAGTGCATTTAGACTGACATGACTCAGGAATACGCTTTGTCTCATAGCTTCATGAAATCTGGATTTTCTTTTGTGTAAAATAACATTTTTTAAAACTAATGAGATTTCTTTCTATAATTATGCAGCGAACGCTGAGAGCTGAGTGACAGCTGAAATTAGCTGAAGCTGAAACTAAATTCTTAAAGCAAACCGAAGCAGGTCACTAGCTAAAAGCTAAATAAGAACATTTGCTAATAGCTAAAGAAAGCAGAGCATTTATAAAAGCTAAATAAAGAAGCCCACTAGCTAAAGGAACTAAAACACTAGCTAAAAGTCACACAAAGCAAAATGCTAGCTAAAAGCTAAAAGTACCATAACACCATTGAAAAAAATCATCATCATCAACTTTATTTATAAAGCGCTTTAACACAGCCACAGCTGAAACAAAGTGCTGAACATCAGCTAAAAACAAGAAAAGAGAGCATAAAAAATGTAACTAAAGGCTAGGTAAAAGACAAATGTAGCAAAAAAGCTAAAAAAGAGGTAAAGTGTAGATAAAAGTCAAAACTACCAAAAGCTAGAAACTGAAATTCTCAAAAGGCGGTATGAAAGCTAAAAACTAAAATTATAAAATAACACAAGAAATGCTAAAAGTAGTCAGAAAGGAGTCAAAACAGCCAAATGTAGCGGAATGGTAGCCAAAAGCTAAGAGTAGCATAAGAAGACAAAAACAGCAGCTAAAGCAGAATTGAAAGAGAAAGATGTTTCAATGGAACTGAAGAGTCTCTGATTCTGTGGGGAAACTCCTGACAAGTTAAACATTTAGAAAACTGTAAAAGTGATAAAAGGTCACAGCACCCGTCTCCTGAACGAGCCGAACACTTTTTTGATGCACGAACAGCTAAATCAGCAGAAAGTCTGCAGAAACAGTTTGGTTGTAAAAACAGAAGTATTTATTCAACCTAAGACCTCTTCATTTAGTGAACAGTAAAATAAAGTCCCAATAGGCATTCTTATATTTACATGAAAGAGCATTTCTTCCAGATGTTAACAACAAATAAAGATAACTCAGACCCTGTGTTATTTGCTGAAGCACCAAATCTTAAATTAAAGTCAAACTAGCAGAATAAATAAGAAAAACATTTTTAAAAACGAATGCGAGCAGTACAGGAACCAACCTTTCATAAGATACAAAGATTTTACGTCTGCTTGAAATATTTCATTAAATTAACAATAAATAAAATCAGAAATGAATTAAAGCTGCACCTGATACTCTGCGTTCAGCGTGTTTGTGTCCCTCGCAGCTTCCTGTAGCTGAGCGTGCGTGAGCGGTCGGGAGGAGGTGTGTAACAGCTGGAGCCACACCTCCTTAGGGGTGGAGACAGAACAAACAGTCTCCGCCCCCAAAGTGCTTACGTCCAGTAGCAGCGACAGATTCGAACCCCGCCTACAAATACAAAAGTTTTCAGAAAAAAATTATTTTGACCATTTTATAAAAGTAAAAAAATCTTTGAAAAGTTTTTTTAAAATTTTATTTTAGGTTTATTTTTCCAGTTAAATGCTTCAATTCGGTGTAATTTAAAAAAAGTAATTTAATCATTATTGTTCAATCCCTGTTAATTTTATTTAATAATAATCTTTTATCTATTTTTTAAAATTAAATTCCACTCATTTATCAGTGAAGCACCAACTGGCACAGAAAACATGTTCGTAAATAAATTCAGGTACAAAAAGTTAAATTCAAATTCATTCTTTTATCACCAGTTTAAATACAATTTAATTAAAAAAAACTGTTTTCAACTCAAACACAAGGACAACCATTTAAATTCAAAATTTATATTACTTCAAGATTTTTATTAAATTCCACTAAAATATTTTCAATTAATCTCTGTTCCATTAAATTCATTTATTACTATAGTGTTGGTTCATCACAGTCAAATTTTATTTCAATCTAGTTTTATTACAATTCTATCCATTTTAATTCAGGTGTTTTATAATTCAGTTCAGTATTCAGTATTCCCTTTACATCCATTCCAATTGAATCCTGATTGAATTTGTTTCAGATTAATATGGCGAGATAAAAAATTCACTTCTGTTTACAATAATTCAAAGTGAATCAAATTACAAAGTAAACTCCCATTTAATCAATTAGCTTCAGATTCAGCGTCTTGTTAACGAGTCACTTCATAAATCAAGAGTTGTCACTGGATTTCTTCAGACTCAACAGAACCGCTGGCTCCCTGTCAAGTCCAGAATTTAATTCAAAATCTTACTTATAACCTACAAAGCTCTCAACAACCTAGCTCCATCTACAGATCTTATTGTTCCATATTTTCCTAACAGAGCACTTCGCTCTCAGACTGCAGGTTTACTTGTGGTTCCTAGAGTTTACAAAAGCAGAATGGGAGGAAGATCTTTCAGTTCTCAGGCTCCTCTCTTGTGGAACCAACTTCCAGTTTCTGTCCATGAGGCTGACACATTGTCCAGTTTCAAGATTTTACTTTTTGATAAATCCTATAGTTAGGGACGGCTTGAGTTTCCTGAGCTATCCCTTAGTTCTGCTGCTATAGGCTTAGACTGCTGGAGGACAAACTGACCACATGTCCTCTCGCTGCTGCTGTCTTTACCTGCTCTACTCTACCAGTTTGTAATTATTTATATCTAAACATGTTTTTTGTATTTCCTCTTATAGAAAGATCATCTGGACTATAGAAAGATCATCTGGACTATAAAAAGTACTCCTGGACTATAGAAAGTACACTTGGACTACAGAAAGTTCACCTGGACTATAGAAAGTTCACCTGGACTATAGAAAGTACTCCTGGACTATAAAAAGTACTCCTGGACTATAGAAAGTACACCTGAACTATAGAAAGTACACCAGGACTATAGAAAGTACTCCTGGAGACTGTGATGAAGTGAACATTCAACACACTCTGTTGGCTTCCTTCCATTGATAAAGAACTTTTACGAAGTGTCCAACATTTTTCAGTCAGGTCATCTGACGGTTTCTTTTTTTTTTGTGCTGAAACGTTTTGCCTTCGATCCAGAAGGCTTCATAAGTCAAGGAAACACAAAACAAAACTGATTCTTCCCCCAACAGCTTACTTCAAAGTGGAACAAACCAGTTCTGCTAGTGATAAGATGGTCTCTTTGGTACGCCCCCTCCTCCATTGCCAGCCCTCTTCCTTGTTGACAGTCTTGTCAAACTGGTTGAAATGACCTGACTGAAAGATGTTGGATTGTATACCTGGATTATTGAGCATGGACTTTGTTGTTTTCAACCAGTTTGACAAGACTGTCAACAAGAAAGAGGGCTGGCAATGGAGGAGGGGGCGTACCAAAGAGACCATCTTATCACTAGCAGAACTGGTTTGTTCCACTTTGGAGTAAGCTGTTGGGGGAAGAATCCGTTTTGTTTTGTGTGTTTCCTTGACTTATGAAGCCTTCTGGATGGACGGCGAAACGTTCCAGCACAACAAAAAAAAAAGAAACTGTCCAGATGACCTGACTGAAAGATGTTGGATTGTATACCTGGATTATTGAGTATGGACTTTGTTGTTTTACTAAGTGTCTTTTTTATGTCTGTGAATGTTTTTGTTCAGTGCCCTGCGGCAGCTTCTGTTGGGACTTGGAGCTACAGAAATAAAGTGAATTGAACCAAGTCATTATGAAATGTGTTATTGTCAAGACATCAAAGTTCATGCTCAATAATCCAAGTAAAACCAAGTAAAACAAATCCAGAAAAGTTAAGTCAGGTCCTCTGGATTTTTTTTTTTTTTAACATTTCACCCTTCATCCAAAAGACTTCATCAGTCTGAGGAGCCACAACAAAGCAACCAAGAAGCTTTGTGACTCCTTGGACTGATGAAGTCCTTTGGATGAAGGACGAAACATTAAAAAAAGAAAGAAAGAAACCGTCCAGAGGACCTGACTTAACTTTGTTGGGTTACAGTCGAGGTTCTGGGTCGGTAGCTGAATGTAGTTTTAAGGGTCAGCACTGACCTCTCCTGGAGGCGGACCGATGTTTTGCGAGGAGGCGAGGTTAACGGTGGCGGGGTCACTGGCTCCTCTGCAGGTACGGAGGTGGACTGAACCACTGAGGTGAACATCCTGAGCCTCTCTGTCTCAGTTGTGGTTCTGGATCGTCTCAGCAGCTCATCTCAGCACCAGGCTGCAGCGACAACAGACGAGCGGTTTTATTTTGATGTTTGCTACGACACCACAGTCTGCTGAAGGTCCGTCAGCACACACTGAATCTGCATTTTCTTCAAGTGATTATTCAAATAAAAACGATTTAAAAGAATATTACAACTGAAAATAAAAGATCAAGATCAAATAAATAAACCACACGGATGAAACCAACAGCTTCATTCTCCACAAGTCTTCAGTTTATTTATATTTTAATAAAGATACAAATGATACGCCTTTATTTTCTATTTAATATTTTAACTTGTAAATAGTTAAGAATCCAAAATGTCTTCTAATCCTGAGTACCACCAGTGATACTTTGTACAACGGTTAAAGTTTATTTTATTACTGCATAAGGCGACCGTGATGACAAAGATACAAAATGATGCAATAAACAAAAACAGATGAGCGGGAAAAAGAGAAAGAGTTTAAATTAATTAAAGAAGAGAAGACAAAAACACGAGCACAATAAACTGATTATCCTGTTTATTAATTATGTTTTTCCTCGTTGTCAACAATCTGTAAAACAAGGAACAACTTTTGTTGTCAATAGTTTTTTCAGCATTGTTGTGAAAATTAAGATAAATTGATGGATTAACAGCAGGTGTGCAAAGGTGCCACCCATTTTAATGGGATCTGCTTTGGGACCCTCTGAGTCTGCAGTAATGAGGATGTTGCTCCGGGCTGTTGTTGTGAAGGAGGAGCTGAGCAGAAGAGCAAAGCTCTGGTCAGGAGGTATCAGGACCGAGACGAGCAGATCCTGGACCCGAGTGGCCGACACGATCCGGGCTCAGCCTCAGAGATCAGCTGAGGAGCTCCTTCATCCGGGAGGAGCTCGGAGTAGAGCTGCTGCTCCTCCTCATCCAGAGGAGTCGGGTGACACCTCCCTCTGGAAGCAGACCCAGAACTGTATGAAGACCTGAGCCAGATGTGCACTGGGTTCCATTTTAATTTATTTCCTACAGTTTTACAAAAAGTTACCAGTGAAATATTTCAACCCTCAAGTCGTCGTCCTCATTATTAGATTCAATGAAAAACATATATATTAATCAGAC